AACCACCATGACTATATCATGAGCCTTGTGTCCATGGGGCATGAAGATCTGAAGGAATTTGTGGCAAAGCCTGAATGTATGCTTGGATTCTCAGATCAGGTTCCTGTATGGGTGAAAAAGGGATCAACTAAGGCTGTATTTGCAGGCCATGAGACCAGGACACATGGGAAGACCATCAAAAAGATTAGGAGGGACCTTCAAGATGAGCTGAACCAACAAGCCCATGACAGGAACCCAATGAGGACCTTGAGGCATTGGATGATCAGACGAAGCAAGATTGGCAATTGGTGACCACTGAGGATCAAAAGGGTGGGGGAAGAGCTCATTTGACTATCATGACGGACTCAGCAACTGAGAAGATGAGGATTGTCTTTGAGGCCCATCAGCTGGTGAGCAATTTCTTCAACCCTGGTGAGGACCCCATTGGACATGTGGGCAAGGGGGGCGCTGATAGTATCTGGGCAACATGCAAGATTGGACAACATTGATGACAAAGGCAGGTGGATTGAGGATGAATCATTTAACTATTTGGGAGACATCAAGCTGCATAGGAAGGGAGAGAGTGCCAGGAGGGCATTGGAGCAATGGGTCAAGATCAGAAGGGGTCATCCTCATTTGTTGGAGCACTATGATGTTTATTCCCAACCATCCTCCAATCAGGACAATATCATTATGTCATGGGTCATTGCAAAGCAAGGGAGGATGTATCCAGTATCCACCTATCAGAGGGATTGCTTTGCTGCTTCGTTTAGCGATGATATATACAAGAAGATGTATGCAGCCCATCAGCTACAGTCTATCATTCCTCCAAAGATGACAGCTATGATGCAATTGACAGATACAGACTTTAGCTATGTGTTTAAAAGCTTGATGAGGAAATCTGTTGATAAGATCATGGTAAAGGGGCAGCAGGCTATGGGCACAAGTGATGTGTACCAGATGGGTGAATGCAACGAAAACATAGAAAATCTATTGAAAATCATAGAAAAACGCAAAAAAAAAACACACACCGCCAGGGCGTCGTACTCTCTATTTTTTCGACGTAGACTCTGGCGGCAGGCATCCTGCGCTTCGTCGTTCTTCGTCCGGGCAGGTCTTCAATGCTGTGTTGACTGCCATGGCAGTCTTGGATGTGGCGAAGTCCCTCGGCAACAGTGGCGAAGTCCCGACCATCCCAGATGTACGCTTCTGAACAGTTCGTGATCTGGCTGTGGAGTTTCTTGGGCATTCCCTGTTTGTGGCCTTTTGCAGGCCTATATATTATATACATGTAAGTGACCTCAAACCAGGGGATCAAGTTCGGCCACGAACTGAAGAACCATGTATGATATTATAGTTATATACGTTTACCGTTTACCCATGAACGTGGCCGTCATGCCTTAAAACATCTTAAAACAGCTATACATGGATGGTGGCATGGTCACAAGGTTTTTTCGCGAAGCGGGGGAGTTCAGATATGCTGAAATGGGTTTCGGAGTGGGGATGACCCGGGAGGACGACGATCAAATCATCCAACTCGGACTACCCCGTCGCAAACGATCCCATGAAACCTAAGAATTGACCTCTGGAAAACAGTTTTCCTCTACAACCCAATGGTTTTGGGGCGTGGGGGACGTATTAAAAGCACGTTGAAGGCAGCCGCCCATGAGCCCCCCCCTGCTTACATCGACTGGCAGTAGCTCAGATCACCAGGTGTTCCTATCATCCCAAGTGACTGGCAGTCGTCCCTTTGCCCCTTTCAGCTGCCCTTCACCCGGCCGAAGAGGCCGTACAGGTTCCGCCCAGTTCGACCGTGTGAGGCTTCCCAAGTTCCAAGCGCAGCTGGCGCCAGACTGCAAAACGCCCACACAGGTGGGCCTTGGAACAAAGGTCTTCGACGTCGGTGTTTGACCG